CTTTTGAACATGCTCTCCTGTGTTCCGCTCCTGTACTGGCAGCACTACAGTTTGACAAGGTCTTTACATTGCAAGTAGATGCCAGTCATGTGGGGGCAGGGGCAGTCTTCAGGGTGGAGAGGCCAGTTGGGTTCTTTTCAAAAGTTCAATTCATATCAGTTGAACTATTCCGTTACTGAGAAAAGCGTTGGCATTAATTTGTTGATTGCAACATTTTGATGTGTATAATGGTTCTGGGACTCCGCTGGTAGTGTACACAGACCATAATCACCTTACCTTTTTGTGTTCCTTACAAAATCCAAATCAGCATTTAATAAGATGGGCTTTATTTCTGCAACCTTACCATTTGGACATTCATCATATAAAAGGTTCTGACAATGTCATGGCTGATGCCGTGGTTCGGGCTTTTTAGGTGCCGGATTAGGGTTGCCCCGATCTGGGCCTTTTTCGTGGTCTGTATTAATGTATCTTAAATACTCCTACAGGGACGGAGGTTGCAGAGAGGGTGAGTGGTGAGATGGATTATGTCAAAGATTCCTTCAGTGGAGCTATTGGATAAGTGTACAAAGGACCAATTATTGAAGATTGCTAAACACTTGAGGTAACTGATGAAAGTTTGAAGGAAAACATAAAAACTTTTTTTAAAAATAAATTGGTGGAAGGTGAGATTTTGCCTGATGATGACCAAACATGAAGTGTCGTCTGTGGCAGTTGAGGCGTTTACATTTGAACAGCAAAAGTGAATAATGTGAATAATAATTTAAAACATTTAAATTCTCTGTGTGGTCTCCTTCCTTTGTCATAAGCCTAATGAGCAGGTTCATGACCGTTAATGTTCATACGTTATTCTTCTTCTGGAAATGGATATGTGTTTGCTACTGTATATAAAATTAATTTGGATATTAACCAGTTAACTTTAGTCCAGTTAATTGATGTTAAACTAGTGACACTTAAATATTGGAATAAGCTGTGATTAACTAAATGTTTGTGAAAATAATCTTTTGACTTGAAAAATAATGTTTAAGCATATTTTTATTCTTACGAAATTGTTTAGAGTAAAAAGAGGGAAGTGCATGTGTGTATGGCAAAAGGAGAACTCCACTTACCTTTTATGTCCACATACTCACTCACTCAGAGGACAGAAACAGAAGGAGGGGTCACTGTGAAACATGTTTCTACATCTGCAGAGACACTGCTTTTGAGCAGATCAACTGGGGACACAATCTTTCTTTAAGATCAGCTTTATGTGGGAAATGTGCTTCTGTGAAGATGTAAATGTTTCTGCAGACCGATGCAGAGAACATCCAGCAATGTAATAGATGTACCTTTAAAACAGAGATTAAGGAGCCTTAAATTAACTCAAAAGATTACACAATCATTTAACATTATTTACATTGGTTATTTGTATTTCTCTTATCTTAGATGTTGATTGTTGCCAATTATCCATAAGATGCATACTCATTTAAACTAAAATAAAATAAAAATATACAGCAAATGTCTTCAGCTTTAGTTAATTTATCAACACAACAAGCCAAATGAAGCATTTGGTGAATATGTTTATTGAGACTGTGAGTTAATGTGTTTGTATTCTAACACCTATTCTGCCCCCCATACCCCCCATTTTATTTATTTATTAACTAAAACTTACACTGAAACTAATAAAAACTAAACAAAAACTAAACATTTTAAACAATAAAAACTAAGCTGAAAGAAGCTAATAATAATCTATAAGGATCATCTGGCTCCTCCTGGTGCTCCGAACGGCATTAGCAAGAATCCACCGGGCCCGAATGAAAACAACCAATCAGAGCCCAGAAAGATATAAAGACGCATTGGGTTGGAAGCTTGAAGATAGTCGATTGTTGAGTCTCAGTCCCAGCGTCCCAAAGCGTCGGTATTTGATGCTTTGGGACTCAACTCTTTCTTGGCTCTGATTGGTTGCTTTTATTCGGGCCCGGTGGATTCTTGCTAATGCCGTTAGGAGCACTAGGAGGTGCCAGATTATCCTTATATTTTCACAGAATATCTGTTTTATGTTCTTATGTCAGGATATAGTGACAGTTTCAGCAAATATGACTAAAAAAAATAATCACCTACTGCAGCTTTAAAAACTAAAATTAAAATAAAAAACGAAATAAAAATAAAAACTAATGAAACAGTTTCTACACACTGTCCATGTAATTAATGTTCTGTTGAATAATAGTAATTAATAATAATAATAATAATAATAATAATACAATTATTAATGACCTGATGAAGTTGTTGTTGCCCTGTTGACTTCTGGGTAATAAGAAGAAAATGGAGTGTTTGCAGTGTGTGTGTGTGTGTGTGTGTGTGTGTGTGTGTGTGTGTGTGTGTGTGGAGGATGTGCTCAGCGCCCACAGACAGCAGCTGCAGCCCGGGGAGCTCTGCAGGTGAGAGCCGGAGCTCCTGGAGGAATTAACACCTGTAGTCCCGGGAGACGTTTACATGGTTTTTTCTTTAAAGTTTGGGGATTTAAAAAGTGGATTTATCTTGACATTGCGACCACCCACTTGTATCTGTCTGTGTGCACCAAGAGCTCTGTGATATTACTTTATATTTATACAGAGACCGCACAGAGAAGGAGACTGTTAGAGAGGACAGTGATATTGATATTAAATAACCCAAACAATCTGTAATTCAGGCTCATACAACAGTTAGATTAAAGGGTGCCTCACATTAATACAAATGAGATTAAATTAGCATGAGGTTAATATTTGCTTTGCTTTCAGATTAAAGAATACATTTCATAGTTTTTTTCTGTTATGTCAGTTTTGAGATACTAAATAAAACAAATCTGCTGTTTTTATTATAGATGGATGGTAATTATTAGGGCTGATTGAAGGTATAGCATATTAATTATTATTCCCTTTATATTACTCCTCGGGGAGTAACAGATTACAAAAATAAATATCAATATATAAATATATGTTTCCCAATTCAATATCGATTCATTAAATGGACGGAGGCCGCACTCGACCACACAACAACAACAACAACATGGCAA